ATATATATATCCCATAACTGCTCCCAGCCTCCTGGGAGGCATTGGGGCAATCTAGCGCACATGCGCATGTGTGGGGCGCTATCAGGGGGCCAGCTATAAGAACCAAGTAGAGACAGATGGCTCCTGATGATGTGAGGAAGAACAATGGCAAAGCTAGACTGGGTGTGCAGCAGCAGATTACAGCATAACAATGCCGGATTTGGGAGTATGTTTATTGAGGATGGAGTGAACGTAATAAAACAGTTAGGTGATGTTGCTATTTAACATTTTTACCCCAGTAGTAAAGCTATTAGGATTTTTTCCTATTGCATCCTTGTACATGAGTGATGCTAAACCCTTCTGGGACCTAGGATAGTAGGACTTTTACTTATCAGTGTCCTCTAGAGGCATTTCTTGACATTTCTTGCCACTGTACCGCTAACATTTAAAAATCTGATCTTTCTCCCTTCTGTGCCTGAGAAAACACAGAATTACTGAAAAAGAACACTGCCTAAAAATGATTACAGAATCTAGAACAAAAGGCCATTTTTATGTGAAACTAGATGCCAATCAATAATGTAAAATGCAAACCTTTCCAAATATTCTCAGTATTGCTCTTGTACAGATGCCTGAAAGTCAACATGCTTTTTTTTTGTGTAAATTGAACCAGACTCCTGTATTATTGCATTATGCTTGTGAGAAAATGCATGGCCAGCAATTAATGAAAATTCAAGTGATTCAGAGCATAAAGGTAGCCAGAACAGCTGGCTTATAGTAGAGATACTGTATTGTTTAGAGTGTTACTAAACCCATTACCCTGCATTCACTATATCTGGTCTCCCACAGTACACACAACATGGAAATGCAATTATTTTAGTAAATATAAACTGCTAAATACCTTTTCTGATCAGCAGTATATATCAGTCTTGAGAGATCTATCAGTGTCCAGCAGAGCACTGGTTAAATCTTTTAGGAGGAGTTTTCATTCTGCTCTAGGAGGATGCAGAACCCCTGACGTCTGTATGGACAGTGCTGATTTGCCCTGTGCTGATCACATGCACTCTCCCAAGAAAAAAAAACAAACCTCTCTAGCAATACACACCAAACTGAGCATGTGCAAATGCCTATGGTTCAGTCTGTCTTATCAGGAGATAAGAGGTGGTCCCTTGAAAGAAGGGGAGGAACAGAGAAGTCAGGATCAAACGGCTTTTTTTACACAATGCAGAGAATTAACCCCTTAGGCTCCACAGTGAGTATAACAAGCATGCTTTACTGCATATACAGACTGATTTTACTGTTGTGGGTTTAGTAACACTTTAAGGGCTTGTTCACACTTTGGGGACTGGGAGGCAGAAAAATAGATGGTTGAGCTGCAGTCTGCAAAGCCAGCCATATGGGGCTGTACACATATCACAGCAAAAATGATACTGTCTGTTGCATTTGGTGAGCAATACTGCCGCTGAACATGAACCACTTAAATAAGTAGGGCTGTGCTGAAACTACCCTTCATTCATGTGCAACGTATCGCTTCCCAGCTGAAGGTCAGCCATCCTCTGAAAAGCAATTCACCTGCAGATCACTTTCAGAGGGGCAGCAGCTGTTGCAGGACCCACCTCCTCCTCCACTGGGAAAAGCTGTTTCATAGTGTACACTACATGCAACACAATCTGTGATTGGGGGAAAGTCTGATGAGTCACATAATTCTCTTCCCCATTCATAGGTCATGTTACAGACTGTGTAATCATTAAAAGAACCTTTCCCAATAGAACAGGAGGAGGGAAGGGGGGTCACCATCCATTTCACAGAAGGCTTGGACCTATCAACCATCGCAGTGCGCAAGGTACAGCAACAGAAAGAGGATCTGTCATCGCTGCACAGAAGATTTCTACACGATACAGCTTGCTTCACAATGTGGGACATACTTCATTACAGGTAGGTCACTAATCCAAAGAGACTATTTTTTTTTCTTTGGCTAAATTCCATACATCGTGTAAGTGTACCACCTTAAGGTATTTATTACCTCTCATGGAGATCACAGTGCTCCTCTTGACAATGCCTTACATCAATTTTCTTTCCAGAAGGATGGGGTCGTCTTTGTTCAGCTATCATCCAGGGGCAACATCTACTTTCTGCACTGAGATGCCAGCTCAGAGATGACAGTCATGTAAATTCTGGTGCCCAAGCAGCTCTTGGCTGTGTTCACAAATGTCTGACACAGGTCAGCCCCTGCTGCAGCCTCTCACCTTGTGATTGGCCACAAAGTTTCAATTATTGTAGCCTGATCAATGCGGGAGAGAAGAAGTAAAAAGCTTCTTGCTACCTGCAGAAGACCGATGACATCATCAGTCAAAGTCATCAGTCTTGGGTTCAAGGAGAGCTTTTAAATAATAAGTTGAAAAAATTCAGTACACTGCTGCTGTGACATGTCAGGAATGTATTCATGCAGACATACTAAGTTAATAAAAGGTCCATGTTAAGTTGTTACCTTTAGAACCTCCCAATTATGGAGGACAAGTACTGCTCCTCTTCGGCCTGCTTATGGCTTTATGCTGCCATCTTCTAAGGATCAAACGACCCGCTGAGGCCTGGAGCCATTGTCTGATGTTCTCTGTCTTCTGTCTGTCTCACGTTTGGCAGGAGTAAAATATATCTGCGATTTTTTAACTGACAAATTAAATAAGCTTAAAAAATGCAGGAGAGATCAATGTCTCCCTCGACGCACGCATCCAATAAATTTAATCTGTTTTCCATTTTCTGTCAGGCGAATCGAGCGTCCGTTTATCATGCAAAACAAGTCACATGGACTGTTTGCTGGGAAACATAAGTAAGATAAAATGTAGCACAATGAGAAACAGCTGAAAATGTTCATAGAAGGCCAGAAATCGAGGTAAAAACACGTAAATATAAACTGAGCACATATTGTGACAAGTATTGAAAAGTGAGCATTAATTCTGTGTAAACCAACAAGCAGACTTTTCACTGATGTATTGTTATACTGCTGACAAGTATGGCATGAAAAACCTGATGCTGGTAATGTGGAGCTTCTCCTACCAAAAGTGATGTTCCTGATTTGGGTGGGCATGGGTCATTAACATGACCCACTCCCATCTTGGAGGTATAGAAGCCATGCCAAGGTTGGAGTGACACTAGTCTACATCGGTGAGCAGCTAGGCTGTAGTCAGCCTAATCTCTGATTGTTCTTGTTTTCTGAATTTGTTGGGTTCCACTAAGTGTAGGGCATTGTTTACTGCTGCCTGCTCCTGGGGAGTGTTCTCAAGCAGACCACGCAAGAAAATACAATTTTATGGGTTATGAATAAATACTTTCAATGTGGGCAATCAGTAGGAGATGTATTGCCAGTAATGTAGGCTAAGGCCGGCCATATATGGGTCGAAATTCGACTGATCCGGACCTAAGTATAATCGGACGATTTTCGCTCTTAGTGGGTCAATGGCACCGGCCGATTTTTGTGGTTCCTCTCCTTTTCGGTGATCAGGCATGTTGGAAAATTTGTGAAAAAATACCGATTTTCGACTCAATGATGGCCAAATCGTACGATCATGTTTCCGAAAAGAATATGCGCATGAGCCGTGACCTGGAAGGAACAGAAGTTTCGCCTGTTATATGGGGTGAACTTTATGACTTGGTCGGACAATTTTCGAAATCATTTATGGCACCATCGGATTACCAAGCAAACGTTTTCTATTGTTGGATGAAAAATCGTTAGGAATTCGAACCATGTATGGCCTACATAAGGAAGCAGATAAATATTAATTGTGCTTATAAAGGATTCTTGCCTCCCAGGGTTTGCCTAGAGAGAATGTCTATGTGTGTGGGGTTCTGCCAATGTCTCCCAAGTCTGCTGCCTGGAGGGGGTAGAATTCCAGATTCAAGTCTCAAGGTTTGGGAATGGGTCAAAGCTAGGGCCTGGAAGACATGAAGGTGGCTATAAAGGGGGAGCACCTTCAAGTTTGCTAAGTCCATTGCTGGTTTCAGCTAAACCTACATCATAACAAACTCTCAATAAATGCTGTATTACATGATGTTCATACTCACTCAGTCACTATGAGATTAGTCTTTTGTATTCTGCAAAAAAACCTGGTTGATCCTGCTCTATCTCCACCTTCTGTTCATGTTCACAATTCAGCTAGGGATTTTGCAGCTGTAGTGGCAACTCTGCACATGCTCAGTTTTGAGTGAGTTTCTATGCTGAACATTTCCTCCCTATCACATCTGAGCAGGCCTTATGACTATAGAGTCACACACGTGGCTGTATTTATAGTGGTACATGACAGCCCACTCCCTCCCTCCTCCTCCATGCCCACTAACCAGCTAAACACAATGGGGGCGGAATATTACATGTAGATTGATGGAGGCTTCATCTCCCTCTTATTCTAAGACAGCCTGTGACTGGCAGAAATCCACCCACACCCTGTTATTCCACAAAATAATAAATGTTTCATTTCAAATATATGTTTGTATGCTAATTTAAAACAGTTTACTGATATTATTTATTTATTTTTACTCCAAAGGCTGTTTTTTTTATTTTGAACATGTGACCTGCTTATGTTTCTCTGCAGACAGACTAAGAAAGATCTGGGTCACGTGACAGCTATATATTGATTAGGAACAAGGTGCTTTTTTATTACGCTAATTACAGTGCCATTATCCACATACAGAAATAGAAGGAACAATGTAAATTAAACAGTGTGTGCTTAGTATCACTAAAGGCACACAACTGAAGATTGCCAGTCTTGGCTTAAAGTGTTACTAAACCCCGGACCTTGCATTCACTATATCTGGTCTCTCACAGTACACACAACATGGAAATGCAATTATTTCAGTAAATATAAACTGCTAAATACCTTTTCTCATCAGCAGTTAGAGCAGTCTTGTGACTTCTATCAGTGTCCAGCAGAGCACTGGTTAAATCTCGTAGGAGGAGTTTTCTTTCTGCTCTAGGAGGATGCAGGACCCCTGACCTATGTCTGGACAGTACTGATTGGCCCTGTGCTGATCACATGCACTCTCACAAGAAAAAAAAAAAACCTCTCTTGCAGTACACACACGAAATGAGAATGTGCATAGTGTCTCCACACAACATGTCTTATCAGGAGATAAGAGGGGGATGCTGGAAGAAGGGGAGGATCAGAGAAGACAGGATCAAACAGCGTTTTTACACAGTGCAGAGGATTAACCCCTTAGGTTCCACAGTGAGTATAACAAGCATGCTTTACTGCATATACAGACTAATTTTACTGTTGTGGGTTTAATGTCCCTTTAAAGGCACACTACAGGCACCACCTCGGGAGCTGAATTTATTTACGCCACGGGAATCCTAGTCACTGTATCCCGTGAACCCTATCTGTCTCTCCCCTGGACTTTGAGTCAATAAAACCTTCAAGCAAATACTGACAGCTTGGATTATGGCCATCTGGTTACCATTGGTGGGTCAGTGAGTGCTTTAGGGCAGCTGACGTTGAAGGGCTTATTCAACTCAGCAGCTTCTTTGGGCATCATCGCTACACAGGCTACCATTGCTGAAATCCCTTCTGGACACGCTAGTTGCCTGGCAACCATATCTGAAGTCTGTTATTTTATTGTTGATGTTATTTTATATTGTGAACAGTGTAATATTAGCATTTGTTTAAGAATATTCCGGGTTACTAAGGGACTCATTTATAAAGGAGAATGGATATCCCTATCCACTCTCCGTTATATTTTGTACACCGGTAGTTACTTCGTATCTGCATTTTGCAGAAAATTCATAAAATATAAGCTGCAGAATAGATCCCTTCTCTGCTTAACATGATTGCTGGGGAGCTGGTCACATTACCATGTCACAACCTGATATTCTTCCCAACTTTTTTTTCTTTCCTCACATACTCCATTTCTTCTAACAGTGCTTATCTGGCTTTGTAGACCTGAAGCTAACTGTGCTAAGCACACTTATGAAGCATATTGCTTTGCTTTATCAGGCTCCATGCACACCAGCTTTATTTTTTTTAAGCTAAAAAAAGCTGAAAAAAAAATGCTGGTAATAGCGCTTTTTAGTAATGTTTAAAGGCGTTTAGAAGAATGTGTTTTATTAGCATGTTTGCAGTATATGTAGGGAAAAAAAAAGCTATTTTAGTAGCGCCGGAGCTTGAAAAACACTACTAACCTAAAATAGTGTGCATGAACACACAGGATAACACTATTTAGCTTCTAGGAGCAGAAAAAAATGCTGATAACAGCTGCTAGGAGCTTAAAAAAAACACTAGTGTGCATGGAGCCTGAATGCAAGTTTTTTCTGTTTGTATATTTGTTTTTTTGTGGTCAGTTTTTAAAGCAGTGGTATGGCAGTGATACAGCCGCATTGCTACTTTAGAAATTGGACCCTAAGTCTCTCTCTCTGTGAAGCTGTTTATCGCCTTCATGGGGAGAATTTAGAGAAGCGCTCGGGACAACTAAAAAAGTGTCTGCAAATCATGGTGTTTGGCTGTCATACCAGGGCACATGCCAGGTAACAAGGAAACTAGTTACTCTGTTCACAGAGTGCAGGAAACAATGACTGCTCCCTATGATCAGATACAGGAGCACTGCCAGTAAGAGCGGGTACCTTTTTTAATCAGTGGTATGTTACACAGGCGTAGCTATGGATAGAACAAAGCTTTTTTTTTTTTGCCAGGCAAACTAAAGAATCAGGGGGTAATGTTATTGCGTCCATATGTAAAGTTGCACACCACTCTCCACAAAACTAAAAACAAACTACTCTTCCAGCACAAACTCCAAAACTGTGCAGCTCCCCTGTCTGAAGTGCTTCACTCCCCAGTGGAGTCCAGTTGTACAATTGTGTTCCATTGGGGGGACGCTCCACTTAGCTCCTCCCTCTGAAGTGCTTCACTCCCTAGTGGAGTCCATTTGTACACCTATGCTCCATACGGCAGACACTCCACCCAGCTCCCTTCTGAAGCGATTCACTTCCCAAGTGGAGTCCAATTGCACAACTGGGCTCTATCGAGGAGACACCCCACCAAACTCCTATCTCTAAAGTGCTTCACTTCCCAGTGGGGTCCATTTGTACAACTGGGCTCCATTAGGGGGAAACGCCTCCCAGCTCCGCTCTCTAAAGCACTTCACTCCCCAGTGTAGTCCAATCGTGCAACTGGCCTCCACTGGGGGGGGGGGGGGGGGGCACTTCACCCAGTTCCTCTCTCTGAAGCCCTTCACCCCCCCCCGTGGAGTCCAATCATACAACTGAGCTCCACTGGGGGGGGTGAATCGCTCCACTGTCTGATGAGGGCTGGAACAATCAAGTTAATTTTTACCCTTGTAGAGAGTGGTATGCGGCTTCATATTTATATGTGTAGACTCAACTGGGGAGTGTCAGATCCCAAGGCTGCCTAAACTTGCAGATTGATGATTGTGGCTGTGGTCCTAAAGCAGTGTCACAAAACAAGTGAGTACTTATTGTTACTATTCCTTCAGCTTTAAAGCAATGGCAAAGCGGTACTGGTGCCTAAATAGCGTAATCCATTTACAAACAAGCTTAGACCTCAACAAATGTGAAGTTTAAATGTATTAAAGTGCCCGCTTTTGTGGCAATAATTCATACATTCAATGGCACTTTCCCAAAAGCAGCAATAAAGGACTTGGCCTTCCTTTGGGATTAAAAAATAGTTTGGCTGGTGTTATTGTAGGGAGTGTATTAGCCTGAAAGGCCCCATTCATTGCATATTGCGGTGACAGCTTAGTGAGATATCGAAGTTCTATTCAAATAGTTCCCTGAAATTCACAGAATGCCCACAGGATTGCTTAAGAGGGGAATGTATATTTGTTTTAACTCAATCCAGTTCTGGAAACCTGCAGAGGGAGGAGATTAAAAGCCTTTAAAGGGAAACTATTGTGGATATCCAGTTTGGGCACATTTTAAATTATTACTAAACATTTACCTTAAAGTGCACCTTTCAATAATTTTATGTCTGCATGAATAAACTACTGACATGTCACAATATACAGCAACATTGTCATTTTCATAAAATTCACCTGTTATAAATAATAAGCAGTCCTTGAGCTCCAGTGCAGTGACTTTGCCTAGGCTGAGATGATGTCAACAGTCTGCTGCAGACAGGAGGGAGTATTTCCCTAGTCTCCACTCCTCCGGTGACAAGACTGTACACTGTAAGATTGTAGCAAATTAGCAAGATGAGAGGGTATAGCAGGGGCTGATGTGTGTCAGACATTTTTGGAAACTGCTAAGAATGGAACAGGCCCAGGGTTTACATGAGTGTGTCATCTTTGACACAGCATCTTAGTCCAGGAAGAAGAGTCTAGATGTGATCATTGACTACACAAAGGTGGTTCCGCCCTCTGAAGAGATAAGCAGATCAAGGCATTGTCAGGGGGAGCTCTGTGATCTCTTGCACTGCCTCATGTACAGTACATATATCTGTTTACAAATTATAGATATCACATCTGCAATAAAACAGCTTTACCTGCCTGTTTGATATCTTCTGTGGAATGTACATGAAGATGTGCTTGTGCAGCTCAGTGTAATTCTTGGCATGCCATGGTTCCAGAGGTTCCGGAATGAACAAACCCCCCGTACTCATGTGCGGGAACTATGTCATTCCCCCACCAGCCAATTAAGACAGCCAAAGACCGCACACTCAGAAGAAGCCAGTGAGTAGACATCAACATCAGTGAGGGAGCTTATGGGACATTGTATCACTGGAGTAGAGGGGAGTATTTGTAGACTTTGCGTTACCCATGCATTGCAAAGCAAGAGGTTGGCCTCCTCTCCAGCTGCACATGTTCATCTTTCCTTCTGTCTTCTTCTCTGCTCAGGTGTCAATAGCAAAGTGAATACCCAATATTTCCCAGTATAGAGGAGCATGTGATTCATTCCCTTTTTTCTAATTTGGCAGTGCCGATGCTTGGCCTTTTGTATGAACTTGGGTAAAGAATCCTCTGCCCTGTGTAGTCTCCAAGTCATCACACAGAGCTTATAGTCCGAGAGGAGTGGGAAGTAAAGGAAAGTGTTTCTATTTTAGGAGACAGTCCCATAGAGGTTTACACTATATATAGCTAGATGGATGAGGACATTTCTCTAAAAGACAGATTTCAAGTGTTTCCAGTGAAGGATACTGGCATTACTATCACAAACAAAGGCATTTTAGACAATTGTTCACTTCTAGCAATGTGGTAGGGGATGGTCCTTTTCTGTTCCAGCATGACTGTGCCCCTGTGTACAAAACCAGCTCCATAAAGTCATGATTTGATGGGTTTGGTATGGAGGAACTTGAGTAGTCTGCACAGTGCCTTATCCTCAACCCTACTGAACATCTTTGGGGTGAATTGGAACATTGACTGTGAGAGCCAGGTTTTCTCATCCAATATCAGTACCTGACTTCACAAATGCTCTTTAGGTTAAATGGACACAAATTCCCATAGATACACTACAAAATCTTATAAAAAAACCTTTTTAAAAGAGTGGAGGCTGTTATAGCCCCAAGGGGGATTCAACTTCACATTAATAACTATGGTTTTGGAAAGGTAATTTCAACAAGCCCCTCTCTAAGTATATTGGTCATGTATCTGAACATTTTTGGTCTTATGGTGTATATACAATTAAGGCAAAGGTTTCAGCTGTCACATTCAGTTAACTAAGGAGCTGAGGAAGAGTGGAAGGGAGACTGGGTAGTTAGGATTAAGAGAGCTATGCAGAGTGGGTAAGTGTACTTTCTTCTGAAAGTAATCCTACCCATTAAAAATAACAAATTACTTTATCTCTGACAACATCATAACAGGACGCGGCTATGCAATGCAGGGAAGCAACATTTGGGGCAAGGAAGAATGGGTTACTATAGGGGGTAGATGCACTTTATGTAAAAGTACACATATTTTTCAAAGTAAACTTTGCAAAATGAACTCAAAATATGCATCCACTTTAAATCTGCTGTGCTTTCTCTGCAGGGTTTTATCTATTCTGTACTACTGACAATTTCCTGTTTAAATTTTCATCTTCAAACATTACTTGGCCAAAAAATGTATTGCTTTTTAAACAGGACAGTCTGTCTAAATAAGAAAGAAAGAGCGTTTCACCTAACCTTTTTTTAGCACAGCTCTAGCGTTAAAGGTTCTGAAAAAACATTTAGCATAATCAAGATAAAACACTGAATTCCTTCAATGTTTACCTTTATAGTATTTGAGAGTAGCCCGCCGTGCTATCTTCTGTCAAGTCTGCTTGTTTTGGAAT